ATAACGAGCGCGTGGCTCATTGACAGAAGGTTCGACTCAGTGGCTAGAGGTTCTGAGTTCGAATCCCGGATGGTCCACACTCGGGATTGGGTATGGTTGGCTGATGGTCGCTAATAAGCCAGAAATTGTCATTCCGGTCTCCCTTGTATTTGCCAGCACTATATTTCCAGTATATATGTCACTACTTGCTATGCGACTGCGTGCGAGGACAATAGATTTAACTCCAAGGCACAACGGCACGACCATATACCGTAACTGCATCGGTGAGCGGCACTTAATCATTATACATATACAGGTGATCCTCCTATCCCAACTTGTCCTAATGAGTCCTATTAAATTGAACTGCATCTGCGATGCCAGGCAGGTCGATGAGAAGGAGTATGGTGTAACGTCTTTGTCCTATCTAATTTATACTACTAATATTACTACTTGTTTGTAAAATAGGCATTACGTAGTTATTCAGCAGTAGTTGATAGCCTTCGAGTCAAGTACTCATTGGGTTTTAGGGTCAGACCCCAAAAAGTCATTTCCCGGTCAATTAACTCCATTTCAAGGACTTAGTTGCTGGAATTATTCCCTTTATGTATACATATCTATAGGTGTTCCTTCTGTCCCAAATCCTTTCACTGAGTCCTATCAGATTAAGCTGTATCCGTGGCGCTAGGCAGGTCGGTGGAAGGGTCAGACGACAACCGACTAATCTCATACTCCTATGTCTAGCTTAACCCAGATGTCTGCTAATCAGACTAGCGTAGGGCTTATCAACCGGCGAGCAACCTCAGGAGGAACACGCAATGCAGCCACAGCTTCCGTCCCCGTAATGCAACATAAAAATGCTAGGTAAGGATTGTGTGGACAAACAGGTCGTTTTCTTAAAAAAAAGCCCAAAGATGCTCGCGAGAACACGCGCCAATACGAACACGGTCAGTGCGCTTGTCGCATTCCACTCATATAAGGTTCTTAGACAACTGAAGGTAAACCGCCCCGGGGAGGCCATTTACGCCCTAGGAGAAACACTCAACAACGACAAGTTTCTGGTCTGGAAAAAAATAAAGGACGCCAGAAAAATGAATTGTGTATTGCAGCCAGGACACGTTGGAAACAGTACAACGCAAAAGAATTGACGCCAACTCCATTTAGGTCCCTCCCAGGAGCATTGTCGTGTCTACAGCGGGTGGGGACAAGCTAAGTGGTTAGTGCCGAAGGCTAACAATTAGGGCTAACAGATTCATCAATCTGCACTAACTTCTTGGCCCCAGGCGACTTTAAGTAAATCAGTGAAAATCGATGTGGCAAACAGGTGATCCGCAAATCAAACTTCAGACAGTTCTGCATAAAATTGTACAGCGAAATTCAACTACGGAGTAGTGGATTAATTTGTGACACGAAAAGAATATCTGAGCAAAATGTCACTAGAAATAACATTTTATGCAAGATATTGACCGCTACCAGATATAACCCTTCATCGTTTCTCGGGTAACCCAGTGATTCCCTGTTAGAAAACCCCCTTATCTTTTGAACCAATTCATTGGTCCAATCAATGTAGACTTTTTCATCAGAGCTGAAGGGTTGCTAAGCAAGGCCATTTTGAGACAACTGTTAATCCGATTGAGTAGTTGCTGCTGAACACTTCGTGCAGGGTAGAGCGTTTCAGTGAAATGTTTAAACATTTCCCCTCAATCTTTTTGCAAAATGGGACTAGAATTATCGAATTGTGAAACGGTGTTACCATTTCTTTAATTATATGTTGGCCTTTGTGTGTCATTGCTCGACTTAAATCGATTTAGCATTGCTGATATTGCGCAGAAATAAGAGTTTGAGATAGCCTCAGCAACTCGTACTACACCATATTTATGGCCCGACCACGTTCACAACCTAAATTTGCTTCCATAAACGTTCTGCTTTAGCGCTGGTATTGATAATTGGCCAGGCGTATTCCGGGTTCTTTTTCCCGTTCAAGATTATCGCTACAGATCCGTTACTAGTCTCGACTTCATGCAAACAGAAGTGTCTCGAAAACCAGATTGCCTGTTGTGTTTCAATCCATGCAGCACTCAATTTTTTCTTTTCCTACCAGTATCAAAGCACTGTCAACAGTGGATTTATTCACTTCGAATATACCTGAACTGTCTTCAGGCGGCCGACGTGGCACCTAATCGATCAAAACTTTTTCCTATTTCTTCTACAATGTAAGACTGTAATATTCACACTTCAAACAAATGTCAAAAGCTAAACACGATAATTTCTTTGGGTGTTTTTTTTTCAGTTGCCTGAAAGCAGAAGTTGTCAAAGCATTTAGAACAAAAACGGCATGCATTAAATCTCATACATAATATTTAAAAACCAAAATGTGTCTGAAGTATAATTGCAGGGGTAGAAAATAAGGGGATCACAGGAGCCGATGTAGAAATGAGTTTAGCACCATTGTGTCAGATAACCATGTGAAGCATACTGTCGGGGCAGTTGGAGCGTTCACTTACTGCAGGGCACATGCACCTATGACTGGTGTCAATGCGCATATGATCGAATGCCAGGTCTGAATGCGGGCGGGGAGACTGTGTGTGACGGGTGTTATCCACAGTTCAAAGCGCTGATTTGTCAGTAGTACTCTAATGGGTCCAGGGAGACTATGTGTAGAGACTACGGTTAGACCGTGCCCCGGTCAAATAAAGATTAAAGTCACGTTTGTGGACTTCAGGACCGACTTTTTACTTAGACAGTAAGGGAAAACCAGACGAAGGATTCAGTGAACTTACAAAGTCTTGATCTTCCTCTTCATATCGCGAGCGGAGAGCAGTTGTACGCGGGTACTCCGCAACCTTGAAAAGCACGAAAAGGCCTCCTTATTAGTTATTCATGAAGGCCACAGAGGACCCATAAAATTTTCTATGGGTAGGATGCCGATTTAAACATCAAAAACAACAGTATTAAGTGTGCAAATACGATAACACTTAAAAGAAGACGTTTCATGGTCCCAAACTTTTTAAAACTATAGACCAAAAAGCAAACAAATGCATGAAGTAGAAGACACTGACGAGATTTGCATCATTGCTATTCCATCTGTGTTCGAATTGGCGCGCCTTCACCAAAAATTCATCGTCTGCATCAAGATCCTCTGCTGTCAGCAGATCGGAAGAGCGTCGTGTAGGGAAAGAGTGTAGATCTCGGTGGT